TTTGATGGCTTGGGAGTTCCTAACCTCAGAGATTTTAATCTAGCCCTTCTTGCATCTTGTTATAAAAGTTTTTTTTATGTGTGGAGATAAAAGTTGGGTTACTTTGCTGAGTTACAAATATAAGACCAACATGCCTAACTTGTTGTTGTCCAAAACTAATATAGGCTCCCCTTTCTCAAAAGGGGTCATTTGGGCCTTATCTAGGGCCAGGCCTTTTTATAAGTGAATTTTAGGGAATGGAGCTCATATTAGTTTTTGGCATGATTTGTGGGTTGGAGATATAACACTGAAAACCCAATTTTAGGATGCTTTTGCTATTTGGCAGGAACATGACTGTTGCGTAGCCCAAGTTTGGGATGGACAAACACTTAAATAACCTTTAGGAGGTGTGTGGAAGTTGGGTTTTTTAGTTAAATGGCAGGAACTACAATATGTTCTACTTAACTATATTCCTAATGACAATGATGATCAACTATTAGAACCTTCTGGTTTATACTCTGTTAAATCCTTCTATAATATGATCAACTAGGGCAGAGTGTGTACCCCCATATGGAAAAACTTATGGAAATTTGTTTTCCCTCAGAAGTACCTAGTATTTGTCTGGTTGGCCTTTCACATTAAAATTCTGACTCGAGACAACCTAAGGAAAAGACAAGGATAATGTGACCTGCCTTTTCTGTAGAGAAAATGAGTCTATTTTTTACCTTTTGTTTAATTGTCTTGTTGAGAAACAAGTTTAGTCGATTATTGTTGAAATCTTCGAAGTTCGTTTCCCTTGCAACATGTGTGAACTTCATGCCATGTGGGGTGTGGAGAATAAGAAATAGGTGATCAATATAGTGTGTGTTGTTGTGATCTGGAGCTTATGGACGATGCATAATGTTTTGTGCTTTCAGGGTGTAGTTTGGATCAGTACCCAAACCCTTCTGGGAAAGGTGAGTGATATGATCCATCAGTGGAAGATCTCATGCTTCAGAAATCAATCGATGCTACTTCAAAGTTGCTTGCAATGACTGGATCATCAAAGAGGAGAGCTCCTGCGGATCTCCTCGTGAAGATGAGGGATGCAAGCAAGAAGGACTTGTAGTTGGGCTTCATCCTGAGAACTCAATCTAGTTGAAGCTTTGTGCTTGTAATAATTAGCTCTATGCACTGTTTCTTTCTGCTTGCATTTGGTTGAACTACCCTAACCATTGTGGCAATGCTTTGGGGCTTTAATTTCTCCTTCTGGCTCAGCTACTTTGGTGAGGCCCGGGCGATGTGAACAGTTACATCTTTTTTTCCCTCGTTTTAATAAAAACTAGCACATATGCATGTGTGTTGCAATGGGAGAAAAAAATAGTATCAACAGACCACCTGATATATGTCGCACATAAATTGTCTTAGCTGAAGGCGCACTTTTTTGTTACAAAACAATGTAAATGTGGTTCATCTTGCTGTCTTCAATCAACATTCACTTCGAATTGAAATTTGTAGAATAGCTTGCTAAGGCCTCATTCGGCAGCTTTGTGGCTTCCTAAAATCGTTGGCTCCCGCTCCTCATCCAGCCAACCATCTTCAAGAACGAGCAGCGAAGCGTTCGGTTGGCTAATATGGCTCCTCTCGCACGCATGGGCTGGTAGCCTAGGAAAATAGGCTAAGGCCTGTTCGGCCATGCAGTGGGCCAGGTTTTATGGCCAGTTCGATGGGGGAAGAAGGGATGGGCTAGAAATTTGATTGCTACATGGTGGAGGCTAGACTTTTCAAGAGCATCTAGTTTTTTCCCTTAAAAAATCTAGTGTTCTTCTTCTTTGTTTGTTGTGATTTATCCTATATAGAGAGTAGTTTTTACCTGTACAGAGAGCACTTTATGATAGTACAAGTGCAAGAAGTATACAAAACATGTAACTTTTCGAATTTCACCAGGTTTAGATGAACAACAAGGTTTTACATATGTTCTAAAACAAAAGCTTGATCAAATTTGCATATGTTTGCGAATCAAAAGAGGGACAAATTGCACCACGACCATGACTTAACCAACAAAGAGCAATGGAGGTAACTAGTTCATTCCAAAACATATCCATGTCAGGAGCACTTGCCTCCAAAGTTGAAGCATCTAATGCACTCAAAGTAATAACATACTTTTTGTATCTACCCGGAATTGTTGGACCATAATCTGAATCCCTTTAGATGGACTAGTTATTGTCGAAGATGGTTCCTCTTCAGTATCATACTCCAAATCGAGATTAGTAATTACACCAACATTCAAGGCGGTTTTCAATGCCAAACTAGAGGGGGAGGCAGGCCAAATGCGGGGTTCCAATGGTCACGCCATTAATGTTGATATCCTCAAACAATATGTGCAAACCTTCTCCATTACGAAGTCCATGCTTCTTGAACTTGCCACGACCTGGGAGCCCCTATTGTACAAAAGAGATGACACTAGTGAAGGAAATATGCCCTAGAGGCAATAATAAAGTTATTATTTATTTCCTTGTATCATGATAAATGTTTATCATTCATGCTAGAATTGTATTAACTGGAAACATGATACATGTGTGAATACATAGACAAACAGAGTGTCACTAGTATGCCTCTACTTGACTAGCTTGTTGATCAAAGATGGTTATGTTTCCTAGCCATAGACAAAGAGTTGTCATTTGATTAACGGGATCACATCATTAGGAGAATGATGTGATTGACTTGACCCATTCCGTTAGCTTAGCACTTGATCGTTCAGTTTGTTGCTATTGCTTTCTTCATGACTTATACATGTTCCTATGACTATGAGATTATGCAACTCCCATTTACCGGAGGAACACTTTGTGTGCTACCAAACATCACAACGTAATTGGGTGATTATAAAGGTGCTCTACAGGTGTCTCCGAAGGTACTTGTTGGGTTGGCGTATTTCGAGATTAAGATTTGTCACTGCAATTGTC